ATATATATATATATATATGTTATTAATTAAGCTTATTGTTCATTTGTTTGTAACAAATTGCTGAATAAAAAATTATGTTAAAAAAAAAAATCAAATTTTGAATAACTACATTATTGAAGAAAAAAGGGGGTGAACATGGTTAATGAATCTTTCGTAATACATTTGTTTTTTTTTTAATTTATATATTTGTAAATTGTAATTCAATGTACAATAATCCTAAACAATTACCTTCATGTACCTACCTAATTTATTAAATAATGGTATTTTGTATTAATAATCATATTATTATTATTTATTTAAGATTTTATATATTAAATAAAATATTATAATTAAAATAATAATTTTAATCAATTTTTAATAATAATAGTAAATTAGAATAATAAATAATAATTATTACGACATTACACATAAGAAAAAAATATACATTATTTATTTAATAAATAAAATAAAAAATATAGAGATTAAAAAATATTAATATAAATATACAATTAATAAGTAAGTATATACATTTTTCCCTTATTTAATTACAGTAAATTATTTAAGTACAATGTATTTTCATGTCAATGTTCAAAATTATTACAATACGTATGATAAAAAAAAATATTGTTATGATAAAAATAAACTATTCATAAAATTTATACTAGATCAATATTTATTTATTATTTATATTATAATTAAATAAAAATTATTATTATATCACATAAAAATTCATCATATATTTTTATTTAATATTTTTTTAATACTTATTTACATTATTTTTGGTAAACAATATATTATAATCTTTACCAGCCAAGAGTATTACTATATTAATATATTTTAATGTGGCTACATCGTAGATACTAGATGTAAAATATTTAATACGCATGAAAGAATGCCACGGTTAAAGCTTTTATGTTTGAAAATGGCTTTGTTCCAAAGAATCTAACAAAGCATTTTAAGAACTTGATAATTTTACATATTGTATAAGTATAGATGTACAGTACACTGTAAACATAGTATGATTAAAAATAAAAAAAAAAACTTTTAGGTATGCATCTGTATTAGAATACAAGACAAGGCAAAACATATAAAATGATTACGTATTATCTAAAATAATTAATATAATTAATTATATTTAAACGATTAAAGCAACTGAAGATCAATTGTTTTTTTCCAATATAATATGTATACTATACAACATAATATTATGTTGTATTCAATTGTACCCATTTATTTTTCCTAAATTGTTCACAAATGAATAAATAATAAAATTGTGACCAACTGTTTGTATGCTTATAGGTAGGTACAAACTACAATTTAAACATAAAACGTACGAACGAGACACAATGAAAACGTTTTCACATAATCTATTTCTTTCTTACTTGATGGTTTATTTATTAGATTAAGAATGTGAATACACACGGAAATTTATACATTCATGCTATTAATGACACAAAGAGTGAAGGTAACATGAGAATTTTTTTTAATTCAATCACTATTATATTAAATGTCTAAATAGGTACTATACCGCAATCGCCAGTATGTATTGCTTACAATATTTCAATATCGATACGTTCTAGGCTTCTAGAACATAAATTGTTATGTTAAATATTCGCAAACGTAAAGAGTATAATCAGTAACTATTATAAGCAATATGCATATATTATCATGATAGTAAAAAGAGAATATTCAATAAATGTTTACAGTTTAGGTGCATAATGATTTAAGCAGAACAATTAATATAATATCGTTTATGTAAACATTGTTATCATTTTAAACGAACGACAGTACATTTATGCTATATATTTTATTTATATTGTGGATATTTTTTATTATTTTGCCACACAAATCATATTTTACAAGTATTATAATATTTTACGATGAATGATGAATGATGATGCATGCTGCACGCATAATACTTACTTATTTGTATGTGTAGTTGCCATTTTGTGATTTATGTCAGGCGGTTTGTTGTTCATGAGTGATAACTTTCATTATGCTTTTAAAAAAATAATTTTTATTTAAATTCATTGACCGATTGAATTATTTTAGGGGGCCAATATCCTTCTGTCAACCGTCTGTTTGTATACGAATAATATTGTAAACTTAGTTAAGATAAAAATGTATTTTAAAAGTAATATTTTATAGGTAGGTACTTTTATATTTCATGCGGAAGCCCGTTGGTTTTTAATTACTAATGACGTGCAATACATTTCTATGTGGAGAAAAATTGGGGAAGAATTTGGTAAATATTTTTTAAAATCTATTTTCCTGTTACCAAGAGTGAATTTTCCTTTTCAACCTTCCAAGATGTTATACACAAGTATCAATTTTATATTAAGCTTTCTTGTGAAATTTGAATGTGTTTATTTGGATTATTTGAACTAGGTTATGATAAACGCATTTTAATAATTTTAATGCTAAAAGTGCCTTTTTTATTTGTGACTTATAGCTAAAGTAAAAAGAAAAGAAAACCGTTGGATTATTAAAATATCAGTGTCTGTATTTAATTTATGATTTTACAACATAATTTGTAATGTAATGAAACTCGGTGCCATTGATATAATCAATAAATTAGGTACTATGGTATGTAATACTTTAATTATTGAAATAACTAAATTATAATTTACTGATTTTTTAATGAAAAAATTAATGAAAATTATTTCACTGTATAAGTCCATAAAATACTAATTGCTATTAATATTATAATAATACACTCATGAAATACACTTAAAGCTACACATATATTTAAAGTGACTAATTCGCTTTATATGAACAGTCCTAGTTGAACTATGAATAATAACAATTATATAGGTATGTAAAAGTAAATGTTACCCCATATTCCTTATTATATAAATTTTGAGATCGTATAATTTATTTATTTTTCATTTAATACGTTCGTGTAATAGTCATCTCGCAATAATTACTAATTTCAATAGTAAAAATATGTTCATATTACGCGTTTATCAATGCATAAATTATCAATTATTACCTAAAATATATCATGATAGACGTTAAACAGACGATATTTTCACTAGACAGTAACTCTTTAGGGGAAATAGTTGATAATATTTCATTATTACTATTGCACATATGCATACAGTCGTGTACGATAAACGAATAAACAATAATACACGCTGAACTGTTCAACAACTTTCATTGTTTATACATTTATAATTACACGTATTATATTATTGATTTAAGTATGAGTAGATTGTTTAATTTATATAATTAATTTTTAGGTACATAACAATTAGAAATCGGGTGTTTATATTAATACACGTCTTAATATGTATTTATTTATTTTATTTTATTTCCTTAGCTAATAAAGACATACTGGATCTTACTGTGAAAAACTGTTGTGGAAGTCCAAGGACTATTACAATATTTATAGTCAATGTATGTTATCTAAACTATATTATTACTATATTAGGTACTATGTTAAAATCATCTAATTATAATTTAATAATTATAAGTGTGCAATAATAGTATAATTCATAGAAAATATTTTAATATTTTTTTATTTCAACGTATATGCATTTATATGTGCTATATTCATCTATGGACTTTGGTAGTTGAGTTACTTGGTTATAATATTAATTAGTAATTCTTAGCACGAATTTAAATGTTTAATTACTAATGACTAATAAGTAAATTGTTAAAAAATTAAATGACTTTTACTATTCCATCATTTTACTAGTGGTCCTTTTATAAAAAATATGTTATACGGCACTGAATTCTTAGAATATTTTATTTTTTATTCATTATTTTTTACACTTTGAAGTTAAATATATAGTTTAAACCTTTGTGTAATTTCATATTCATAAATAATTTATAAAATTATATTTCTATTGTAAGTACCTACTTATGGTTTAAATTACTAAATTTTACCAATGTTACCTATCTATACCATATCGTGTGGGGAAAGTAAATCTGACGCAGTTCCCTTTCCTATGTCAGTGGTTCTGATCAGAATAAAACATATCGTACAGACGTGATACGCATAATTATGCTATTATATATTATTTACAGTATTACGACTATTACGCTTATTTAGTTATTTTATTTTTCATAAAAACAACTTAAAAATACCTCTTTTTATTTTATACGATATATCAAAGATATATACAGAATAGAATTAACCGTTAGATACATAATACAACGTTTATTGTAAAACGCTTATTTTAAGCAGCACCTATTCAATATTCATACCATACATGTTTTTCTATTAAGGACTTAACCGTTTTTCTTAGTCCTATTATAATATCCAATCTACTGCCGTGTTCTATACTATATCGGATATAGCCATATAGCTTTAAACGGGATAATATGCTTATTAGGTATACCTTTCTTATTTTATTTGAATTTTTACCTTTAAAATAAGCTTACATCACGAAGTTGCGTTTGTTTATCTTCTTATACATTGTCTACTTCAGGTTTAAATATTATCTGAAAACTGTAAATTAATTTGTAAATATTGTAGTCTACACTCGGTACATGTATTATACTTAGCAAGCTCGTGAGCAAATCAACTTTTAAGTATAACAAGCAGTAAAGTGACGGTTTTGTGTATACAATTGAAAATAACTATATTAAAAATTTTAATTGTACTTAAAATGCTTAAAAAATTCACTTAACCTAACGAAGAATACGTATTGGCTTTTTTCCACTATAAAAGTATAACAACATCTAATAGTTGGTTATGATTTCGTTAGTTGTCATTATCAGGCATGTATTCAAGGGGGGTCCATAGGGTCTGCCCCCTCCAAAGTTTAAAAAAATTAAATTAAAAGATTTTGTATGTTAAACATGCAATAAAATGAAAATAAAAATTGTATCCAAAATTATTTAGATCCCCTCTCTAAAAAAAAATAAAATAAAATAAAATCCTGGCTACGTATCTGGCCATTGTTGTTGTATGGTTTATAGTCTTGTATCTCAAGGCACTTTATATAGTTGCGTATTTAAAAGACCGAATAGTGAATGCAAATTTTCACTCAACAGTAACAACTGACGAATAATGCGTTGAAAAAAATCATCAATTATAGCGAAATTGAATTTGGCGCTGTCGTCCAGGATCGATACAATTTACGTATAGACGTTAATAAAGTTTAATCAGATAACTACTGCCGGTATGTATAATGTCTATGTATATTCAACTATTATTCTTCAATATGTCCTGTACATAATAATCGGTACGAGGTGCCATGATTTATTGTATAATTACACGTCGTCGTATTTATAGTATTCTATCGGTGCTCGCGTTCGTCTGTTAATCTATTTTCAGACGTCCCCGCGGTGGTCACAGTCGATGCGATTCGATTGTTCGATTTCGTTCGGTTCCCGTGGACCCATTCACGACACCCGAAAATTGGCGATCAGTGTTTTCAGCACAGGCACATTGATCGGACCAATTCGGATTTACCGGATCAGACATGACCAATCACATAAAAATAATTATTAAATAGATATTATATATATATATATATCTATATAAGGACAAATTTTGTATATCCTTATCCGTGTCAAGTGTCAACTGCAGGCATACGTAGTAATCTACACATAATTGTATAATGGATTCGTGGCTGTCTGTGAACGTAGCATCGGCCAATGTCCTGTCCAGAGACAATCGAGGATCCGTCCGCGGAGTCAAGACGGTAAAATTAACAATAACTTTATACACCTAAGTATCGCATGCCGGCGGCATTTTTGCATGTTTTCTCGTGGTTTTACGAGAAAAAAAATTAACACACGCAGCGTTTAATGAGTCCCCCGATCATTGGCGTGGGTACCCGGCTTTGCGAGTATTTATAGTGTGTAGCACGAATAAAATGAGATTTTTTGCTCTCAGAAATCGGTGGTGGCTGCGTCGGCGGCTGCGGTTTAGATAAGTCTTTAAAAATAACTTAGCCCGCGTTCACCGCGCCATAACGTAGGTACGACGGTATACGTGACTGGCATTCGGCTGCTCGTCTATTCTATCCGTTTACCACATATTTCACGTTTTTCGTAAAAGTGCGTAATATTTCATGCTATTAGATAATATACATTAATATATTATAATATTATTATAATCCACCATCCAAATAACTTTTGTTTCGAATTCGTGATCGTATATATTTTCTCCAACTCAACCGCGGACAATGGATATATCGTCAGACGTCAGTATTGAATATTTTAACAATAATAATAATAATAATAATAATAATGATAATAATAAAATCAATGATATAATCGAATCGTATCATATATACATATTATATAGGTTTGGGGGCAGTTAGCATTAGAGGCTTCTCAGGTGTATATCGATGACGGTACAGGAGGACCCGCCAAGAGCCCGTATGCCGGAACGGTAAGACGACGATGAGATGGCTGCATTGCGCGAACCATAATATAATAAATCATTATACGTGTGTTAGGTGTTAACTGTGAAGTGTCGTTGTGTCCTGTAAATTGTCAATGTTTCAAAACATATACAGCATATTAAAATTTTTTTCAAAAAAATGACCTCGTATACGTTTACTTACACGTTGAAACTATATTTTACTTTATCATATATAGCCAATAATTATAAATATTTAAAATACTGTAAATATTAGGTACATAATATGATATCAGAAAAATATAAAATAGGTTAGTCATAGCAAAAACATATGGACTAAACTTATTATTATAGACAGATTTGAAAAAACGTAATAAAAATTTTTTAATTTATGAGGAATCTTTTTAAAATTTTGGACATTATTTACAAGTTATATTTATAATATGTTGGAAATTTTCTAATATCGTATTCCTATATGTTTGTCAATATAATAATATTAATTCAATATTTATGGGAGGGTTTCTAATTTCTATACGTTATGGTTAATTTTTCGTAACTGGAGATTTGATTACTATTGTAAAAAGTTTTTATCATTAAACAGAAACATTTAGTTAAAAATTTATTTCATTGATATATTTTAATCAGATTTTTGCTGTATAATCTAAAAATAGTTATAAATAAAATAGATTCCTTTGAGTCCGCTTGTGTTGATGGTGAATGTCGAACTAATACTGCAATGTATCTTTTGATATACTAATTTAAAAATTGTCCGAATATTGTCCTTTGTGACTTGTGTATAATAATTGATTCAATTTTTATTATTTCTATGTATTGTTTATTTAGTGTATAATTTATGTAATATGTAATGTACCTATTGAATGTATAATACGCTTTTCATTTGTTCTACACTAGTATATTACTATAATTTACATATCCTGTAGTTTCTGGCAAGATCTCTGGTCTATTCGCGTTATTTTTGTGTTAGATTATTATTTTAACAAAATGAACATTCATAGTTTAAACGTATTATTAGTGTACATAGTTTGGTGCAGCCCAGTAGGTACTATATATTAAAATTGAATTATCAATTGATCTACGAATTTAAAGAAATTCAACAAAAAATTAATTTATTGTGAGAAAGGTAAATAATTTCTCAACAACAACTTAATGATTCGGTTATATGAATGTTAAACCTAAGAAAAATATCATATTAGTGAACTTTTTTATAATTTCTCATTACTAAAATAATGAAAATTAAAAATTAAAACTTACTCTCAATAATAATATAATAAATGCTGAGAGAGCATGGTTTTCATTGAATAGATTACTGTAATAAGTGTAATAGATGTATTAAAATTAAATTCAACAATAAATTATTGCTGCATATGAAAAACGATTCTGAGCGAAGATGGTGGTCTGTCAGTCTACACTACGAAGTATATTTTATTATAATATAAATAAATACGATGTATAAATATTATAAAGTAATTTATTTTACATTTAGAATTATTGTAAATTGAAATTGATGAATTAATAGTTGCCGAAAACATCACATTTATTCAATTATTAATTATGGTTACTATATAATATATACTATGATGTTTATAACATTTAATATTGTAAATTTTTATTAATTTTTGAGCCAATTCCGATTTACCATAGAACAGAGTGAATAGGTTTGTGATATAAATAGGAAATATCTTAAAATTAATCTAAATATTTTTAAAACATCATTCTATGCTAAAATATTTATAATATACGTATGCATTTCAAGTTCACTAGAATAATATATTTTTGAATTTTAACTAAAAACTAAAATAAATACTAAATATTGTAAAAGTTTTATGTCTCCAAAAGCAATTTAATTTATACATTTTTTACTATAAATTGCAAGTTATCGTGATTTTTATGAGTTTTGTCAACATTTAAATTTAAATGTTTTTTAAAAAAATGTGCAAAATGCATTTTTATTGCTTAAGTAAAACTTATGTCGTGATTTTTATCAAGCTTCCAACATTTTTTACCAAACCTAAAATTTTTATTTAATACTTAAAAAAATAAAACTAAAATGATTCTAAAATTTTCAAATACTTATAAATAGCATAAAAAGAGTCAACATATTTTGAATATTATATCGCATGTATTAAATGCTAATATGAATATATCTTGGTGAAAATTTCTATTTTGTATAGTTATTTATTTTTGAACTTCAATATTATAACAATAACAACAACAAAATGTATTTTGCATAAAAATTCGTATATTTATTTATTTTTTTTTTTTTGTTTTTTCCAAATCTTTTTAAAGGTTCCGAAATTTTTTACTTTTGATTCTCAATACTAATTAGATTTAATTTACAACCAAAATATTTATTTTTCAAAAACTAAATGGGGATTGTAGTGCAAAAATAAGAAATAAAAATAGTATGCATCTTTGCCATCAAAAGTCAAAACTAATATAATAATCATCGCTCCGCTTAATCTAAAATTATAATTGAATAAATAATATAATTCTGAGATAGTATTTTTTTATTTAAAATGATGTTTTTCATGATAAAATATATTTTAAACTGACATAAATTAAAATTATTTAAATTTACAATATGTAAAAAATAATATTAAATTGTATTCATGAATAATAAACTATTTTACTCGTACTTAGTGATTAGACTGAAGAGAAAATATAAATAAATTTATAATATATAATATTTTGTTAATTCTATTATATGTATATAGAAGGATGTACTTATTATTTTTTTAAATTATAAAACTATTATGATAATATATAATTATCGTAATAGTTATTTTTACAACGTATAATATAATAAAATTGTTTATCATAATATTTAAGTATTGAACGTTTCACCTATGTAAAAAATAACAAATACCTGCCCAAATAAAACTTAATTCTTGTTAAAATTAATTTGAGATCGTAATTTTCTAACAAAAATACATTGTTCATTATTTAAAATTCTGTAAGTCGTAAGTTTAACAATAGTATTGTAGCTAGTTGTGCTTACGTAAATGTTTGTGAAAATAATAAATAATAATATAATGTGGCGGTTGTTGTTTCCAAATGTTAAATAAAAATACTTATGTGATTAATTTTTTTCTATAGACGATCGAAAAACTACCAGACAAAGTTTTGTTGAATATATTTTCGTACCTGAGCCACAAAGAAATATGTAGTATGTCTAGAGTGTGTAGAAAGTGGCGCACGATTGCTTATAACACGTCCCTGTGGTACAGCGTATCCCTAAGACCGGAAATATCGGGACTCCACGTCACATCACTAGACTTTCTGCTGTCTCTTATCAGGTGATTATAGTAATTCGGCTATAGAAATATATATATTAAACTATTTATCTAATATAATCAAGATGTAATGGAAATAATTGATAAAATATGTATTTAATTTACTACCAATAGATAGGTTTCTATGCAATAAGTAATAACATTTATTGTGATAATCATTAACCTATATTTTAAACAATTTTTTTTTTAAACAGTAATTAGAAGAAATAAAAGTATTAAATATAATAGAGGTTAGGGATATTTTTCAGCACTTATTTCTGTTACAATCTATTTAAATTTATGATATTGTACCCGCATTTTCCGCCTAGTTATATCAACGTGTGTATAATAAAAATATTACTTAGTGTAAGATTCGGCTCTTCGTTGCGTTATATCGAGCTGCCCATCGAGCTCATAACGCATACAGTCTTGCATGAACTGGCCAATAGATGTCCAAATCTCACTCATATGTTACTCGACTTTTCAACCGCCATGCAACTACACGATTTCAGTGAGCTCCAAGCATTCCCAACCAAGTTGAAATATCTCTGTGTGTGCTTATCGGAAGTTATCTTCATGGAAGGATTCATGAGAAAGATCTACAACTTCATAAACGGACTGGAAATAATTCATTTGATAGGTAAGTTGAGTGCCATCATTGTGCTGAAATTATATATATATTATATATATATGAATAATATTAAATATGAGTTCACGTCCAGGTACTTATGAAAAAGTGGAAGAGGAAGAGGAAGAGATTTACGAGGTGATCAACGTTCACAAACTAAAATCGGCTACGCCGAACTTAAGAGTCATAAACTTGTACGGGATAAACTTCATCGACGACAGTCACATTGACGCGTTTAGCTCCAATTGTATACAGCTTGAGTGTTTGGCCGTGAACTATTGCTCCAAGGTCACGGGTTCTACAATGAAAACGTTATTTCAAAGGAGTAAAAGGCTCAGGTGTCTTTTAATGAATCAAACGAGTAATTACAAAATTATTGTTGAATAGCACGATAACACAAAATTAAAAATCGTGTAACAAATGAAATTTATTTTAGATCTTATCAGCGAGTATGTAATGCAAGTAGAATGGGAAAAATCATCGATTCAAGAATTAGATATATCTGGGACCGATCTCTCTACTGAATGCCTAATCGATATGTTAGTTAGGATACCGAATTTGAAGTTCCTGAGCGCAGGCCAGTTAAACGGATTCAACGACTCTGTGTTGAGTACGTTCATGGAGCAGGGTAACGTCAGGAACTTAATCGCGCTCAATTTGGACTATTCAGACAATTTGTCAGACGAAGGACTTTATAAATTTTTGTCTCGGTATGGACATCAGCTACAGGGACTTTCTTTGGCTGGCATGCCGCAAATTACCGATCAATTATGGAACACAGTCTTACCGGTACTCAATAATATCATGTAAATATATTATTATTTATTATTGTTATCGTAAAGTATATATTTTATTCATTCAAATATCATAAAAAGTATGAAAAATCTATTACAAAAATAAAAAGCTGCAAATACTTAAAAACGAAAAATTAATAAAAATTCGTAATATTTCAGAATTATGGTTATGGGCACTCAAGAGAGACTATCTGGTAATGTGCTAGTAGATCAACTTATGGACGGTATAGCTACAAATTGTCCGAAACTAGAGAGACTCGAATTAAAATGGGATCCGGATAATTTAAGATTTTCGGATAAAAGCCAAAAAGCAATTGATATTTTCCGAGTGAAATGTTTAAAACTCAAATGTTTAGTTTTAAGGTAACATAAAATGATAAAATACTATTATAATAAAATGTTATTTATTTTCAACACGAATGTACAATTTTTTTAATTATTATGTTTATGTTTTCGTTTTTAGCGATGGAAGGTATTACGAAATAGTGAAAGCAAACTTCGAAAGAGCAGATAGACTAACGGTGGTTAGGACCACTACATGCTGTAGTGTCTCAAATTATTATCTACTACAGAATTACAAAGATTTAATATTTAATTGATTCCAGATCATTTATTATTTATAAAATTTATTAAATAATTAAAATGTAAATACTTATGTTTTCGACGGTATATAATATTATAATAGTGTCAACCATACATATAGTTTAAGTATCTAAAATAACAATAAAATATAAATATTTAAAACGAATCGACCCTCGCAATTACGCAAGAGAAAGTAAACAAACATTGCTTTCACTTCCCCCGAAAACAAGTTTAAGAGAAAGTGTAGTTTAAAAGAAGAAAACGCGCGATTAGGTACATACTGATCATATTGGATTGTGTCGAGTCGCATATCACAACTCAACTGGTCTACAACGTCGTTCTTTAATTTATCAGAAAAAAAAAATTTTAACATTTGTTTCATAAAATATAAAATTTTTCAAATATGTATATAAAGTACGAAAATCTCGAGGATAAATTCGCCAAGAGACTGGACGATTTGTTCGGTGTTAAAGACTGTTTGATCGAAGTTAATCCAGGCAAATGTATACTTCCGCCCAAGTACAAGGATTTGGGCCAGAGAATTAAAAACATGGAGGTCAGATCTGATGATGTATGGCTTGTGTCGTATCCAAGAACAGGTAATAATTTTAGTAATTTACTTCCGGATACTTAATGAGGTGTATATAACGACACTGCATTTTCAAACAATAATTGATGTTGTTTTTGGCACGACTTAAACGATGACTAATACATTTTTGTTCCTGTTAAATGTATTATAGGAAGTACTTGGGCTCAAGAAATGGTTTGGTGTATTTGCAATGACTTGGATTTTGTAAAAGCCAAAAGTATGATTGGACAACTAAGGACACCGTTATTAGAGTGAGATACACCTTTTTACAAAACACAGTTTTTTATAACAACCATTAAAATATGTATATCCTTATAAAATATAGTGAAATAATGTCGATAATAGTACTAAATAAATATGCTATACCATACGCAATATACAATTTATTTAGGTACTATGACTAAAAACCGTTATTGATTTATTACTATAAAATTTAATACCGATAAAAATGTCTAATATGAATACATAATAATATTAAATTGACTTTAAATTAATGATTAGAATTTTTTTTATCAATTCGAATTAACAATTAATTTCAAAAACCAAAATGCTTTAATATTATTTTTATATATTAAATATATGGCATATACCTACACATCGTATAATTTATTTGAATAAAAATGACGGAAAAAAGCAAACGAATCAAATAATATTATAGTTAGACAAATAACATAAAACCGAATAACCCTTCGGTGGAATAGTTACAGATAGGCTGTCGGAGCTCGCTCAACCCAATAATACGATACAACATTAATTCGGTGCGTATTATATCAAATAGGTTAACAGCGCTTATGGGTAACGACACGAGCAAATTGAAAGACGAACTGGGAAACTCCGTGGAACAAGTTGAGAACATGCCGTCGCCCAGGTTCATAAAAACCCACTTGCCGGTACCGCTGTTGCCCGAACAGTTGGCGAACGTCAAACCGAAAATCGTCTACGTGACACGCAACCCAAAGGACATGTGTGTGTCTTATTACCACTATTGCAAGCTAATACACGGCTTGCACGGTTCGTTCGACGAGTTTTGCGATCTGTTCATACAGGGCAAGACACCGATCGGTCCTATTTGGGATCACATACTGGGTTTCTGGGAACAAAAGGACCAATCCAATGTGCTGTTCATCAAATACGAAGACATGAAAAAGGTAAGCAAGAGTCGTGATCGCGGTTGTCTATAGTACCTAGTTAACCGTTACCGTGGTAAAATCACAATGTTGTCTTATGAGAGGATATTCAGTATACTGAATACAAAATTATATTTAATTTTCATATACTTCGTACGGATATCAATTTGATTTGATGAGAATGTATTTGAAAACGTCTGGTTTAAAATTTTTAATACATATTTTTTTTTGCGGTGGTATGGTTCAATGGATTTTGTGAAGGTCCATTGATTTTATTGCTTATTGCATAACTTTTTTTTATATATTTTAAATAATTGAATGGAAAAATGAACCAACTTTCGGTTGATTTCATTGCCTTGATATAAAAATAAATAACGCTAAATATTTTTTTTTTTTATACATGATAAAATTATAAATGCATTATTAGAATTTATAAAATAACAATAAGTTTTTTGCATTTTTAACAAAACGTATCTTTACTGATTTTTTCACTATAATAAATTTCAGTAAAAAATATGAAACATTTACATATTTCATTACAATCTGCGTGTATTAATTATGATACATATTTTAAGAACATATTATAACTTTAAGTGATATTCCTTAATAATAAGTATTAAAAAATATGTAATAATAACTACGTTTTGGTTTTTCAATATAATAGGATCTGAAAGGAGCCATTAGACAAGTATCAGCTTTTCTCAACAAACCCTTAACCGATGAACAAGTTTCCGCTCTTGAAGACCATTTGAGCTTCAACAGCATGAAGAAGAACCCGGCTCTGAATTTAGAACCAATCCTTGCTATGATGGAAAAACAACCATCAAACGAGATAAATCCCGATGAAACATTTATTAGGAAAGGAAAAGTCGGAGACTGGAAAAATTACATGTCGAAAGAGTTATCGGACAAATTCGACAAATTCACAGAGGAAAATTTAAAAGGAACTGATCTCACTTTTGAGACAAATTGATATCATTGACACTATATATATAATTGTTTTATCACTCTTAGATTTTAAGTACTCAGAAAATAAGAACTACGATTAAACATGTAAAAAATATTGTATGTACATTGTACACATTATATTATTGAATATAATATTAAATCTGTAGTAAACATCTTAAATACTTCTTTGCTATTTTTTAAATATTTTATTTCTAAAAATATTATCAACTCTCTATTAAGAATTTAAACTCTATACTCATGGAACATTCACCTGAAATTTACATTTATCGAAAATTAAAAGATAAACAATATGAAAACAAAAATATAAGTTACCTATATTATTACCAACGTACCAATTCTTTTTCATAGATTTAAAATTAGCTTCATTTAACAAAAACATTTTTCACTATATTATCATTGTAACAAAAAAAAAAAAAATCTAAATCTAAAAGTCTACACCACGTTGTGTCAACTATACAAAATAATTCATATAATTCAAAATAAGAACATTTTATAATAGACGCCAAAATTTTGAACTAAAAATAGTTTTGCGTTGTTTTAATAATCCCCAAAAAATTTTAAATTCATTTTATGGCCTATTATAATTTATTATATATTAAATTGTTATTTAACTTATAAATGTTTTAAATGTATGATTGTTTTCTTCAAACTTTGATAAACATAATTTTTATACTATAATTATTTAAGTTGTATTTAATTAGTTTCATAATAATATGTTAAATGTATTACTATCTTAGGTATATTGATTTAATTTTTCAAGTACAATTTTTAATAAATAGTTAATATTATAATCAATTAAAAATTATAAAAATTATGGTTATCTAATATGTAATAAACAGCTACATATTGTCATATTCGTATTCTTATTCTAACATGAGGTAGCTAAAACTAAACTATTTAAATAAAACAATTCACGTGATGTACGTAATAAACCTTAATCACATTTTACATGTTATAATAAATTAAATAAATTTAAGTTAATTGCATTTGAGTGTCACATAATTATTTTTCTAAATTAGAATAAAACTATATAAATATATCATTGAATAATTGTAAAATGAATATGAATTAATGATTTAATAAACTTTAAAAAGTAATTGAACTATCCAGAAATTATCCTTGTAAAAATTATGAATACAAAGTTGAATTAGCAACGAGAGCAATAGAATAATACCGAATTAATCATTAGTTTTGTTTTAAATCTTTACATTAAATACCTAACACCATAATACATTTTTTTTTATAAATAATTACTAGCGATAAAAATAATATAATACATGCTATACTTAATAAATTTAATTAAAACTTTAATCCACTTTTCTCTAAGCATTTCTCTTCCCATTCGTCAAAAATTTTTATAAACTCTGGTGACATTTTTTGTTTTCCTCCTCCCACTATACCACTTCTCATAAAACTTCCGTTAGCGTCAATTAAATTGTGAGTTTTATTAATCTCTATAACTGGCTCATAATTGACAGCTCTGTTGTTCTTCATACTTTCGAAACTTAGATGGTCTTCCAAAGCCAATACCTGATCTTCAATTAAATCTTTGCCTAAAAATTGAGCTGTTCGACGAATAACCGAACGTAGATCCTATTAAAACAATTTTAAAATTCTATTAAAATCATACATGTAGGTATAAATTGATTATATAAGTTTTTTTAATTGTATAGATATTGTTATTTTGATCATAAAACAAAATATATAGTTAGATTTAATGTCAGTTGGCTAATATTAAATTATCCAAGTGTTGAACATATATGATACATAAATAAATCAAAATCACAGGTATTGATCGATTACCTGTTTCATGTCTTCGTACTTCAAAAAAAGTACCCGCGAATCGTCTCTTCGGTTCCAGTAGCCAAGGATGTGATCAAAAAATGGGCTAAAGCAGACTTAATTACACAAGTTGTTAATATACGTTGTTTTTAACTTGAATTTTTTTTTTTTACAAAGAGTTTACTTACGGGAATCAGAGGTAAACAGTTTACAAAAATCTTCGAAATTTCCAGTATATCCTTCTAACAAACAACAATGATGAAAATATGAAAGGCAAGTGTCTTTTGGGTTTCTGGCCACGTAAACTATCTAAAAGTTAATTTATAATATCTGTTAATATAATTCTTGATAATGAAACAACTATTTACTATTAAAGTGTTCTTGTTTAAACTTCATTAGAATATTATAACTTGTAAATGTTTAGTAAAAGACAAGTGTATTATAACTGCCACGTTATATAATAATTAATTTACTTGAACGTACATTCAAGTACATCATTTTTCATTAGCTAAACTTGTACAAAATTACGATGCAAATAATGTACTCATAATATATTATGGTGGACTTTGAGAGTAAACTAAAACAAAATCAAAAATATGACTAGAATGGAAAATTTAAAGCAATATAATCATAATTTATAAATAATTATATTTGAAATTATAACAATCACCATCAAAACCCTAACCATCTAAAATCAAAAGTCGTTTTTTACTATGCAAGTCTGTAAGAATACAATATGTCATAATTAATGTGAATTTTTTGTTATGCTAACCTAACCTAATATCCTCTTAAAAACTAGTCATTATCTGTGATAACACTGCACTTATTTATAGTAAATGGTGAGCTTATAAACTATAATCATAATTACAATCATAGAATATCATATTTTTATGTATACTTTTGTATTACATTTTTAATAAAAAATAATAATAAAATTCTTTGCTTGAAAATTGAATTAGTTGTCCTTAGCATATGAGTTGAGAAATTATTTTTGATATTTTAATACAAAATGTTTGAATAGGGGGGGAGGGGTATCTATTATGCATTTATAAATAAATAAATTAGACAGAATATAGAGTTACATTCATTATTCACATTGAAAGAATCCTTGAATTTTAATACTGACTAAAAAATATTATGTAGGAAATGCATAATATTTCACTCAACAAATATGTAAAAAAAAAGGATAAAGACGGACCTTCAAAATAGATAAACCTATTATGAATAGTTAATAATCTAACAGATTGTGACTACTTACAGTATCATTTTTGTTACTTATATAATATTTAATAATTGTAATCAACTGACAACTGTCAAGTTTATTGCTGTTGATTTAATTACATACCTATTTAAATCATTCAAAACCTATACATACATATAAGGTACATTGTTTAAATTTATTTGTGTTTCACAAAAAATTAAATAGAAACATAAACAATTACATTTTATGTTATGTAAACATTTATTACAGGTAGTATTAATAATGTTACAGTTTTCGAAAAAAACGATCATATCTTTATAATATTTAATAATATGTAAATATTCGCAAAATAGATCTTACTTTTGCTTTGGTACTTTGGTCTCTAAGTTTTTTTGGTAGAAGTTTGTAAGGTAAATGTGTCTTGATAAATCTCGGAGATTTTAATTCATTTATGAACGTAATCGAATCAGACACATACAACGGTAGCTTGAGATCTGGTTTTTCTGGCAGCACTTTTTCATAGTCAAATAGTGGTGTGTGACTAAAATTGAATCAATAATGTTAATCGTTAAATAAAAATGTACTTCTTCTATAAAGTTGCAAGTAAATCGTATTGTTACTCTAAAAATGGAAATCTTTCGGGCAAAAATTGTTTGGCACCTTCGAAGTCCAAATCATTTGCAATGCACCACGTCATCTCTTGGCACCACGTGGTTCCTAGAACACAATAGATTTATTTTTTATGTTCGATTAGTCTCGAAAAACAAACGCCTCTGAGGAATGATATGACAACAATAGAAGAATACCTATAACACTTTCTTTTTTATTATTATAACTATTGATTAACGGTATGACAAGATATTTGCTTGTCAATCACCGCCTCGCTATATTCATGACCTCCTATTTAACAATTCTATACTTATATATATATTTATTTATTATATACAAAATTATAATACTACACAACAATATGACATAGATAAAATATTTTTATTAATTACGTTTAGTAATTATGTTAAATTAAAAATATATAATAATAGCGTTTTTCAAACTAATAACATTTTATCATAATAATCATCATGTATGTTTTATTATTTTAATTTTTCCCGGATGACTTATCCAATCTTATGATAAATTGGTTATTATATATATTTATATGTAAATTTAATTCTGTGTTTTAAATACTTGTAGAAAACTGAATATGTTGTTGTTGTTATAGTTACAATACAAATTTAAGTTCAAACTTTAAGGCAGGTGCGTGCTAGTATTTATCTTCCTTTGGTCATCTCAAACATAATTTTCTAAAAAATACGTTTTTAACAAATCAAATATTACTTAAGTGTAGTATATACATGTTTGTTAATATAAACGATAAACATCTTTTGTTTATTAAAAAAATTGGAAAATTATTATTAATGACATATGTGTATTTGCATTCAAAACAAAGTGTATTTTCTAGATTTTACGTACATTAAATATAGGTAAATGATACTATTCGCTATTTTAATCATTATTATAATTTATTTTTAGTTATATAATCTCTAATCGATATAACTCATTGGTACTATAGAATATTTTTGTAATTATTATTTCTTTTTCGATATTCATTATAATTTTTACGCAGTACTTAGTTACTTTATTATTTAAAGTATTTATTTAAATATTTCAATCGATTGACCTCCTTTCAGATCTTAGAAATGTAACGAAAATAATTTATGATTACTTTTTTTTTTAATAAAGACTTAAAGCCCAAAGGGGGTTTCTTTCTGTTTAATAGAAAGATTAAACTAAATTAACAAAATGTATACTATAGAATAAAAATTGTTTTGACTGTATATAAATAATGCATTCACTCTTCTAACCTGAATCACACATACTTAAGATAGATGTAAACAATAGAAAATAGAAATCATTATATTTAAAAGTGGTATTTTCTAGTCGTGTTCATATATTATAATAAACTAATCAAAATAAAGTTCAATTATTTAGTTTTAAGTTTGTTTTCATTGTCTTTTATAGAATGTGTTCAGTGAAAAGAATTATTGTAGACAAATAACAGTACTAGATTAACAATTTATAAATAATGGTATAGAGTACAAAAATTACTTGCATTTATAATCGTTACGCAATGCTATATTTTTATGTCAATAATTTTAAAACTGTGCACGGAATATGATGTAAATTAAATTAAGTATTCATAAAAAGTTTTTCCCGACTATAATATGTCATAATACATTTTCAACTGGATATTTGAATAAACTTAATAACCTGTTTTTGGATAACTGCAAACCCAAATATCATCGTCTCTGATTTCCATGTCCTGTATACGCTGTCCAAATTTCTTGAAGTACACAGGCAACACCACATCATTAGCTTTAATATATCCGTTTCGAAAGCTGGTAACAAAACACTTATTCAGAATGTCAGATACTTCGTTGTTTACACTTGAATATATAATATCAGCCATGTTTAGTGACTATTCGTAAGCTGGTAAGATTCTGCTCGGAGACTTGTTCAATAGAAACTCTAAAACATGCGATGATAGTTATTTATATACATCTCTATAGAGGCGTGTTGTGTTCTGGAGAGGGTATTCCTATTATACTAGTATTAATTATGTTTACAATTATGCTATGTCATTGAATGCGTTTTAGAACTTAATGTAGTGTTTATATCATGCAATATAATCTTAAAGGTGATCATAGAAAATAGATAATAATTAATTTTAAGTCATCGGTTTCAATAATTACAAATAAATAATATTTTATAGTAATTTTAGTAAATGCCTATAAAACAGGAAAATAAAACTTGCTAGCTATGTACAAAATATCATAGACAATCATCTCTGCAAGTAATGATTAGGCAAACAGATCGACGTAGTTGTGAATTATATAAAAAAAAAATAAACAAAAATCAAACCACATCAATGGTATTGAATATAATACGCATAAGGTTCTCTTGTGGTGATTCATGGTCACCACTTAAATGATAAATGGTTCAATTTCAATCTCAGCAATAATATCTTGAAAATAAAAAAATTAAATAGAAATGTTTTTTAACCTATATCTAACATATATATATATATTATGTATTGTATATGACAACTAGAACCACTTTAAAATTCACAATTCATTGTGTTTTTGTGTCGACAATCAAGGCTATTTTTTAATATTGTATTATTGTCCCTATTATTTTTAAGTTGTAAAGCCTTCAAAGTTTATATATTCCTACGTTGAAAATGTTTTTATGTCTTAGTTGGTCACCATTACAGCTGTTGCTCACAGATGGACCAAAACAAGGCCTATAATCTTACCTTGAACGGTTAGAAAAAAATGTATTTAAATAACCTTAAATTCCTTACATATACAAATGAAAAAAACGATGATACGCATATTATATTATCATAAAGGTATAGACGAGTAAACTAAATATTTTTGATTAAATTATCCTGTAGTAATTGAAATTTGTGTAAATTATGTTTTATACAATCATGTATAAAGCCACAGATATAACCACAAACACAGTATTGTCTATTATGAAATATTTTGATTTAATTTATACCCTCAATTAGTCTCTCTAGGTACCTATGAATCCCAGTAATTAGCACTTAAACAAGTGTAGACAATATTTAAAAATTTTGATTAAAAAAAAAAAATTATTTGTTTTAGAAATGATCCAACTTTATGGAAATACAGATGATACCTTAAGATATTACATTTTTTTCCATAACATCGTTCAAAACTTATCTAAATTAAACTATCAATATCAAAAAGATCGTATACTGTAAACAATCGAGGTACAAAAAAGATAATTAATAGATATTTAAAAAAACATTTTTGGATTTAACTTTAGTCAATGGAGAAATCATAAAACGAAATTATTTCTTATATTCTGAAATTAAAGGTACTATTTATTTTTATCCTTGTGTGTTATTTGGTGGCCAGAAGTCATTTGTTTCTTATGGGTTTTTAAATTTTAAAAAAACTGAAGAGAAATTATCTGCCCATGACCATCTTCAAAAATATCGTTCAAACATTTTAGTTGTGAAACAACGTGGTGCAATTCTAGAACAAATTGACCAACAGATTAACAGGCAAATGGAATTCGAAACAAATTATTGAAGGTCTATTTTGAAACGGGTAGTAACTTTGGTAAAGTCATTGTCATTAAGAGGTGTATCTTTTAGAGATCATACAAATCAAATGGGTTGATCAAATAATGGAAATTTTTTGATAGCAATTGAATTGATTGCTGAGTTTAATGCAGTTCTTTCAGAACACATTAAAAAGTATGGTAACCCAGGTAAAGGTTATACATCTTATTTATCATTTTACACATATGTAATGATATGCTCACACATCATAATTTATTGTATATTTTATCATTTCGTTAAATAAAGTAACGGTCAAGTTGTCGCACGCAGATAGCCTTCAATAAAAACCTATAATCCCTATTGATCACTGACGAGAGAGACGATCTACATTGTTTGGCCACGTGGGAACCCAAACGCTATTGTGACCATATGGCACAAAGCGTTTGACCTATTTTCGTGTGCCGCCAAAGACAAGGGATGGTCCAATGAGGCTCTCTGTCATCGGGGACCCTGGCTGTCTTGATCACGTCGTCTTCTCTAGTCAGTGCATGAGCACTAGCCAAACCATCGAGTGCATGAGCACCAGCCAAACTATCGAGTGCATGAGCACCGACAAAATTGCAGTGCAGGCGCATCATACAAACGAGCAGGAGCTCTTCCCAAGACCCATCACACACCCTACAACTCAAGACTGCGGGCGACAGCTGGACCTCTTTCTTTTTCTAAGATAAAATCAGTGTTGTTTTTCTTATTTAAATTTAAGTTTTCCTTAAGTCATATCGCAACTTGTATTATCTTATATCTTTCTCTGAGGATCGTACTACAGGTATACACCGCGGCGAACCAGGTAAGGTGCATGCCCTACATACTTATTGTCAGTACGAAATATTTTACTATTTAATTTACATACGGTGTATTTGATCATATTCTCGAATCACGATCTCGAGAACCCTCCGAAGAACTAGAGGAAGGTAATAACGCAAGAACAAGTACATTCAATATTTATTAATACCGGACTTACATATAAGGCTTGTGTCCCTTGTGTCAGTCCGGCCACGTCATACTCATAACAAATACCCTTTTATACTAATTTTGAATATTTTACTTTTAATTTTAATTTCACTTATTTTTGTGTTATTACACATATGAACAATTTATTTTCTTAATGGCAGAAAATGTAGTTCAAATAATTATTTAAGAAATTAAAAAAAAACCAGATATTTTTCTATTTCAATTAATTCCACACCAAATATCCCACACATTGACCAACTCTCTTTTATCATTTGTTATATTAATGATTAAGGCGAACCCGTTGAGCATTTTGTGTGCTTTATTGATAAAATTGGGCATAAATCACAGCAAATTACTGAAACTATTATTTTGATGTTCAACAAATATGACTTAAGTATAAATTATTTAAGAGGTCAGTCATTTAATAATACTTAAAATTTATCCGATTTATACTCTGGCGTACAAATTAGAATAAAATCAATAAATTAACTTGCTGATTTTGTGTGTCACGTTCAGCACATTCGCTTAACTTAGGAAAAATGTAGCTAGTTGCTGCTATGAAGCTAATCCATTTTTTGGATTAGTTCAAAATCTATATAACTTTTTTTCTGTCTCTACACACCGATGAAACATTTTAAGTGCTTCAATTAAAAGTCTTTCTGCTACACAGTGGTCAGCAAGAGATGACGCTTGAAAATATCACAAAAAAATTGGTCATAAATGCCTTAACTAAAATAGCTGTTGATACTGCAGAAAATTTATCTACTCGCTGTGAAGCTAAAGGTATTTAAAAAAAAAATTAAAAGTTTGGAAACATTATTTATGTCAATTTTTTGGAGAAATATTTTAGAACGCTTTAATGCATGCAATAAAAAATTACAATCCATACTAATTGATTTAGGTATGGTTGTTGAAATTTATTAGTCATTAATAACTTATATAAATGATATTCGGATTGATGAAATATTTGTTGACTACAAAGTTCGTGCTATTGAAAAATGTAGCATTTTCTATTTCAAGAATACTACTCAACGTAAGTAAAAACAAAAATTATTTTTTGATGATGTTTACAATGAAGAAAAAATTTTGGATGAATATAAAAAACCCAAGGTTAATACTTACTTTTTAGTTTTAGATCAGATAAAAACTGAACTAGAAAAAAAGAAAAATAGCGTATGATGATATAACATCCAAGTATAATTTATTTTTCCATCTAATAGAACTAACACCAACAGAAGTTAAAAAAAAAAATGCTCAATTTCTTCAAAATGATTATAAAAATGACTTAGCACCAATTAATGCTACTATTTCCCACTGAATGTACTCATTTTCAATTTCACCTTAAAAGTTTGAAGAAACAAAACGTAAATTTTCCTAAAACTATTTTAGAAATGAGTGTTTATTTACGAACATAAAGTGTCAACAGTTTAAATATAGACCTGCGAATACCAATACGTCCAATACACAGTTTTTACCAATAAAAAATCTACGTAGGTATTTTTGTTAAAAAAAAATATTTAAAATCCATATTTTAATTTCTCCGAATTTTAACGATTATTTATGTGCCTAACTATATATTTGCATGTTAAAATCTCAAATCGACAAACTCAATGAAGTAAAATAATATGTGGTTGAAAATCTTTTGATTAATTATTGTAAAAATATATATTAGCCATCTGGCATCTGCATATGATATACCTATGTCCTATAGTATATAAAAAAAAACTTACGTGCATATTATAAACGATGTCTGTCAGTGCAAATATTTAAATAAATAACATTCTTCGATGCAGCTATACGATTAAAAAACAAGTTCTATAAGGAAAACAGGTTTTGTTATTATTTTAAAATGCATGTTGTTTATAAAAAAAAAGTTATATAATCTATAATTTATGTATTTATTTGAGTGTTTTTATCTGTCCAATGTATACAAAATATAAAATAAATATAATTTTCGAAAACGTTACGCAGAAACTTTACCGTTATTTTAATTTACAAATAAAATACAAGCCCAAAAACAAATACCTAATTACCAATCGATTCCTAATAAACGTAATTTCGAGAGAACTTAGACTAATATCATCACGATGGTCACATGCTTGAAACATTTATTAATATCGATCGATCTACAATAATAATTTTAATTTGATCACTAAATAAAATAAAATAATAAAAAAATTAATATTTTTAACAAAACAATATTATTAGACAGGCTAAAGGATATGTAATAATTGGAATGTTTAAAATATTTAAATAATACCTATTGAAAATATTGTTTTTTTATATATAATAATACAAATTGATTTACAAATCATATGCTAAACCCAATCACCTCTTTCAAGTTTTATCCTTTTTTAATGCCTTTATTAAAATTATTATTGTATTTTTTTAGTTTATTTAAATAC